CTCTCCAGGGGTCACGCAGGGAAGGAGTGGAGCAATTCTGGGATACTGGATTTACCAGCTCTCCTCCCACTCCGGGAAGCCTGTAATTAAGCCGGGCACTTAATGAGTTTTGGCTCAGTTTGGGCACAGCCTGAGGTCCCATCAAGCTCCTCCCACCCCTCCCTGCTCCCAGGGGACCCACATATAGGAGGAAGCTCCAGGGAGGACAGTCACTCCCAACCTTCTCCTCGGGATGCTCCAGAATTCCCACCCTGCCTTCTGCTGGAGGATGAAGACCTGGATCCTCCTCGTGGGAGCAGGAATAGTCCTGGGAGGTGTCTCTGGCAGTGAGTGATGGAGCTTTGGCAGGGGGACCAGGCCAGGTCTGGGATCCCATGGGAAGGGGATGGAGCCTGGACTTGGCAGAGGGACCAGACCAGGTCTGGGATCCCATGGGAAGGGGATCGAGCCTGGACTTGGCAGAGGGACCAGACCAGGTCTGGGATCCCATGGGAAGGGGATCGAGCCTGGACTTGGCAGAGGGACCAGACCAGGTCTGGGATCCCATGGGAAGGGGATCGAGCCTGGACTTGGCAGAGGGACCAGACCAGGTCTGGGATCCCATGGGAAGGGGATCGAGCCTGGACTTGGCAGAGGGACCAGACCAGGTCTGGGATCCCATGGGAAGGGGATCGAGCCTGGACTTGGCAGAGGGACCAGACCAGGTCTGGGATCCCATGGGAAGGGGATCGAGCCTGGACTTGGCAGAGGGACCAGACCAGGTCTGGGATCCCATGGGAAGGGGATCGAGCCTGGACTTGGCAGAGGGACCAGACCAGGTCTGGGATCCCATGGGAAGGGGATCGAGCCTGGACTTGGCAGAGGGACCAGACCAGGTCTGGGATCCCATGGGAAGGGGATCGAGCCTGGACTTGGCAGAGGGACCAGACCAGGTCTGGGATCCCATGGGAAGGGGATCGAGCCTGGACTTGGCAGAGGGACCAGACCAGGTCTGGGATCCCATGGGAAGGGGATCGAGCCTGGACTTGGCAGAGGGACCAGACCAGGTCTGGGATCCCATGGGAAGGGGATCGAGCCTGGACTTGGCAGAGGGACCAGACCAGTCCTGGGATCCCATGGCTGGAATTCCAGGTGCTGGAAGCAGAGGGTGAGGTGGGACCTGGTGGGTACTGGAGCAGCTGGTTGGTTCCTGGGGAGGTTGGAGGGAAGGGTGAGGGATGTGCTGGTGCTGGAGGGTCTCATCCAGCTGTGGTGTCAGGAGGGTGGTCCAAGGGCTCCATCCTTCTCTTGGAGAGGATCAGGCTCCCCCTGCTCTTCAGCCTTGCCCACCAGTTGCTTCCTGGTGCTCTCACCACCCCAGCCCACCTTCCTCTGGCTCCTCCACCTTCCCACACCCCAGGAGGACCAAGGGAAACCTCCTCCCAGCCCCTTCTCCACCATCTCCCAGCGGTTCCTGGAGGAACCGACCAGACCCTGTGGAAAAAAAAAAAGATCCCACCATGAACTTGGGTCTTTTGCCCTCCAGACTCTGCAGTTCCTACCTAGAGGCCACCGGTTGGAAGGAGAACAAAGAGCAGCTCAGCAGTGACTCGTGGCCACCAGGTTTTGGCTCCTGGCTTGGCCAGGATCCTACGTGTGACTCGGTGCCACGTCCTTGCCCAAAAATGTCACCTGGGTGCAAGAGGGGGAGTTTCATCACCCCTGAGCTGGGCCAGATGTTCCACCAGCAGTGGATTTCCCCCCTCCCAGGACTGAAGGAGCTTGGCCAGGCTAGAAGAAGACCTTCTGCTTCTACAAACCCACCTGCCCCAGGCAGGAGGTTTTGCCACCGTCTCGTGCGAAGAGATTCCAGCTTGGAGGAAGAACTGGATTTACTGGGAAGCTGGGCAGCTTCACTGGGTTGTGTCGTGGTCTGTCCTTGGCACCTGGTCGGGCTGGGAGCATCACCCTGATGGACCTGTTGGAGCTGTGACACCTTCTCCACGCCACAACCTCAGCTCAGCAGGGCTGGGAGGTTTTGCCTGATGATCTCCTGGGTGACTTGGTCTGGGGCTGTGGGTGGTTTTGAGGGCCAGGAAGAGGTTCCAGCCCCTGCCTCGTTGGCCACAGCTTTGCCAGCCCTTCCAGCAGCCTCTTGATGTGACCATCATGAGTGGCCAACTGCTCTGTGGATGTTGGGGCTCCTGCTGGTGACGGGAGGAGCGAGGACCAGGAAGAAAATCTTCCCCAGGAGGGTGGGGAGAGCCCTGTGCCTGGTCCTGTGGGAATGGGGGGTGCTGAGCTGGCTCCAGGGGCTCCCCAGGGGCTCCAAAGGCTCCCCAAGGGCTCCAAGGGCTCCAGAAGGGCTCCCCAAGAGCTCCAAGGGCTCCCCAAGAGCTCCCCAAGTCTCCATGGGCTCCCCAAGGCTCCAAGGGCTTCCCAAGTCTCCAAGGGCTCCCCAAGAGCTCCCCAAGTCTCCATGGGCTCCCCAAGGCTCCAAGGGCTTCCCAAGTCTCCAAGAGCTCCCTAAGGTCTCCAAGGGCTCCCCAAGTCTCCAAAAGCTCCCTAAGGGCTCCAAGGACTCCCCAAGTCTCCAAGGGCTCCAGAAGGGCTTCCCAAGTCTCCAAGGGCTCCCCAAGAGCTCCCCAAGGCTCCAAAGTCTCCAGAAGGGCTCCCCAAGTCTCCAAGGGCTCCCCAGGGCTCCAAGGGCTCCGGAAGATCTCCACAAGTCTCCAAGGTCTCCCCAAGGGCTCCAGAAGAGCTCCCCAAGGCTCTAAGGGCCCCACAAGGGCTCCCCAATGCTCCAAGGGCTCTGCAAGTCTCCAAGGGCTCCAGAAGGGCTTCCCAAGTCTCCAAGGGTTCCCCAAGGTCTCCAAGGGCTCCCCAAGTCTCCAAGAACACCCTAAGGGCTCCAAGGACTCCACAAGTCTCCAAGGGCTCCAGAAGGGCTCCAAGGGCTCCCCAAGTCTCCAAGAGCTCCCTAAGGTCTCCAAGGGCTCCCCAAGTCTCCAAAAGCTCCCTAAGGGCTCCAAGGACTCCCCAAGTCTCCAAGGGCTCCAGAAGGGCTCCCCAAAGCTCCAAGGTCCCCACAGGGCTCCCAGCCCTTCTGACTCACCTGCCACCCAGTGCAGGGCTCTGCTGTGACACGTTCCAGCACCACGTGTCCCGCGGTGACTGGTGTGTGGGCAGGTCCTGCCCTGCCCAGTCCCCCTGGGAACGCTGCTGGGAAATGAGCCTGGGTCCAGGATTCAGGCTGACTGGTCCCAGCTGCTGCTCTGGGAGCCAGAGGGATCCCATGCTGGAGACAGGGATCTCAGCTGCCAACCCCACCAGAGCTCCGACCTGCGTGGACTGGTGGAACTGGAGTGTCTGGACACCAGGAGGATCCTCCACCACCCAAACCATGGCTGCCCCTTCCCTCTGCAGCCCCTTCCCAGCTCTCCCTGCATCAGCACGAGCCAAGGTGGGACTCAGGTAGCACCAAGGAACATCTCAAGGAGCTCCAGGAACATCTCAAGTGACTCCCTCCTGTAAAGAGCAGGAGGATCTGCAGGAAAGGACCTGGTGGGGAGGAGCAGAGTGACCTTGCAGTGTGGTCAACCAGCCCAGGGCTGGGTGGGGTGAAGAGGTCCCATGGACCTTGATGATGTGATTCTGAGAAGCAGAAATAATTGGGGTGAGGTGCCAGGCAACCAAGGAAGCGACCTGGGCATGGAGAGGAGCCAACAGCCCTGGTTCTGGGAGGTCATTCCCACCCTGGATTCCCCCAGGGCACGTTTCACCTGCTGGAGTTCAAGGCAGGTGACTCATGTCGGGTGATTGCAGGTTTGCACAGGAGAACAACACCCATTTGCCTCCAGGAATCCCTTTATGGGAAGCCCAGCTTGGTCAGGACCTTCTCAGGAGGTCCTTGGAGGTGGTCACCTTCCCAGCTGGAGCTAAGGGATGTTGGGAAAGCCATTCCCAAGCTGCTTGTTGTCCCATTCCCCCTGTCAGGAGCTGCTGGGCAGCGCAGGGGACACTTCCCTCAGCACCAAGTGTTGGCCTCTTCTCCCAGGTGGATGAGAGGGAACAGCCTCAGGTTGTGCCAGGGAAGGTTTAGGTTGGATCTTGAGAACCATTGGTCCGTGGGAAGGGTTGTCAGGTTGTGCCAGGGAAGGTTTAGGTTGGATCTTGAGAACCATTGGTCCGTGGGAAGGGTTGTCAGGTTGTGCCAGGGAAGGTTTAGGTTGGATCTTGGGAACCATTGGTCCATGGAAGGGTTGTCAGGCTGCCCAGGGCAGTGGTGGAATCACCATCCCTGGAGGGGCTCAAAACAACCTCCAGACGTGGCACTTCAGGACGTGGTGGGGTCGGGTTGATGGTTGGACTTGGTGGTCTCAGGGGTCTTCTCCAACCTCAGTGATTCCATGAAGTCTCTGGGCTGTCTCTTAGTACAAACCCAACGTCCTGGTCCCCTTCAGCCTTTGCTTGATGGTCAGTGACCATTGTCCTCCTGCCACGTGGTCCTCACTCCGTTCCAAGCCCACCTGGAGCTGCTGCAGATGCTCCACGTTCATGTCCCAATTCGTGGGGCAAGGGAAGGAGCTCCTGGTTTTCCCAGCACTGCAGAAGGAGCCCCCTTGGTGGGGCTGCAAAACGAGGTGTCAGGAACGTTCCCGAGGAGGTGGTGGGGCTTGGGGAGCTCCTGCTCATCCTGCCCTCCAAGGGGGGGACTCAGAAGGAGCCGTAAATGGTGGGGAAAACCAGGAACGTGTTCCCTGGTGTGAAGTGGCCCTGGCAGGGTGGACACCCGTGGCCAAAGAGCAAGGAGCTGCATCCTGAGGACCCGACCAGCCTCAAAAAAGCCACCTCCAAGGATCCCAAGGAGCTCCAGGGCAGGAACTTGATCCTTCAGGTTCTCCCAGCCAGGAAACGTGGGCAGAAGGAACCGACGCTCCCGAGCTGGTCACAGGGTGGTTGGGGCAGGGATGGTGGGTCCCTCCCGAAGGACCAGGCTGTGGTTTTTCTCTCTCCCCAAGACCTGTACACGGCCCCAGAGTCCTGTGAGGGACGTTGTGAGGAGCCCTACGGCCCCGAGGACTCGTGTCACTGCCACCCCGAGTGCCGCCGCTACCGCAACTGCTGCCGCGACTACGACTGGCACTGCCACCCCGGTGAGGACCACCGAGGAGCTTGGGGGGGTCTTCTCTGCCCCCTCCCCAGGCTGCCACAGCCCTGCTGGGGTTGGTGGGACACGTGTGGGTCCGTCTCCCTCATCTCCTTTTCCCTCTGGGCTCCGTGCAGGTGGAGGATGGAGCGAGGAGGCGCCGGGTGCCAGGGGTGAGTAGCTCTGAGGAGCCACCAGACACCCCCCCCCCCCATATGTGGGTCTCAGGTGCCACCCACGGCTCCTGGGGGGTCGATGGCATCGGGGGGTGGGTGATGGAGAAGAGGGTGAGCCCAGGAGATGGGGCTGGTGCTTCCCAGCCCAGCTGGTGCTGCTGGAAAAGCTCCTCTCGTCCCCAGACAAGAATCACTGGGGGTTGGGACCCTCTTGTCACCCCTTCCCCGGCCCTCAGAGTGTCCCAGGGTGGTGACATTGGCCCCACGTCACCCTGACATCCCTGGGGTGCCTGGAGCCCATTCCCACCAACCTCCTGCCTCTGCTCCCAGGGGGATTCTCCAGGAGCCAAGATGCCATCACGGACCAGGAGCTCCTGGACATCTCGGAGCAGCTTTACCAGCTGGACCACAACAAAGCCCAGCCCAGCGATGTCACCATCAACCCCCAGCACTGGGCTGGCCCTGAGGAGACAGGGGACCAGGAGGACCATTCCCCACAGCCGTGAGTGGGCACCAACACCCTGGGAGGGGTTGGCCAAGGGCCACCCCAGAGCAGAGACCAGCCAGGACTTTTGGGGAGGGACTTTTGACGAGGGTTTGTAGTGAGGGGACAAGGGGGGGATGGATCAAAGCTGGAATTGGGGAGATTCAGATCAGACATGAGGAAGAAATTCTTCAGGGTGAGGGTGGGGAGACCCTGGGACAGGTTGCCCAGGGAAGCTGTGGCTGCCCCATCCCTGGGGGTGTTGAAGGGCAGGTTGGATGGGGCTTGGAGCAGCCTGGGCTGGTGGGAGG